ATTTAATAGAAGTAAAAGAAGAAGAAAAAAGGAAAATAATCAGTGCATTAATTACCTACTTATGGTTAAACATTTATATAATAAAATAGTCGGTGTACACTTTTAACAAGGTCATAAGCTCCCATACTATGTAGTAAACAAGTTTCAACGGGCCCCTTAGTACCATTGGGCCCTAAGCCAACGGCCTACTTAGCCAGTTGGTAAATCTGGCCCTGATGATATTGATAGATAGTATAGACACAAATGTATGACCCGAAATAAGTCTTTTCTGTATCTCATTCTTGTATTTTTTTCTCGATATCTTTTTTATGCACAATTTTTCTGTTTCTAGCTTTCCTCTCTCTCGTTCTCTCTCTCTCTCTCTCTCTCTCTCTCTCTCTCTCTCTCTCTCTCTCTCTCTCTCTCTCTCTCTCTCTCTCTCTCTCTCTCTCTCTTCTCTCTCTCTCTCTCTCTTCTTTCTCTCTCTCTCTCTCTCTCCTCTCTCTCTCTCTCTCTCTCTCTCTCTCTCTCTTCTCTCTCTCTTCTCCTCCTTCTCTCTCTCTCTCTCTCTCTTTCTCTCTTTCTTCCTGTCTTTCTCTTCTTCACCCCTCCACCCTCTCTCTCTCCCACTCCCTCTCCTTCCGTCATTCCGTTCCACCTTCCTTTCAAGTCCCCTCCTTCCTCTCCCACTCCTCTCCATCCCCTTCTCATCCTCCTCCCTCTCCCATCCCCCCTTTCCTCCTCCTCCCACTCCCATCCCCTTTCTCATCCTCCTCCCTCTCCCCTCCCCTTTCTTCCCTCCTTCCTCTCCCATCTCATTTCTTCCCTCCTCTCTCTACCATTCCCCTTTCTTCCCTCCTCCCTCTCCCATTCCCCTTTCTTCCCTCCTCTCTCTCCCCTCCCCTTTCTTCCTTCCTCCCTCTCCCTCCCCCCGTTTATTTATACCTAATTATTTTAATCCGAAGGTCTTTGATTGTACACCAAGCCTCGATAATGAGCGCTGTTGCCAGAAAGGAGTTTTAGATTTCTAAATCCAAGGGAGCTTAACGATTAAATATATATTCTTTTCTTTTCTTTCTTTAGTGGATCTCTTATTCGAGGAAGTGAGGATTCTATTAAGTTCTTGGATAATGGTTTGGTTAATTGAGAAGTATTTGTGAAGGGAATGATGTATATAAAAGTACATTGGCAATAGCAAATATATATATATATATATTTAAGCAAATGCAAAAAGCATTGTTATATACGTATACATATGCACACAAAAAACGTACGCATGAGTGCAAACACATGCATACACACACAGAAACACACAAATGCATATAACATACACACATAGCCTCTCTCTTTCTTTCTGTCGGTCTGCCTCCTCCTCTCCGGTCTCTCTCTCCATCTCTCTTTCGTCCGTCTCCTTCATCTCTCTCTCTCTGCTCTCTCTCTCTCTCTCTCATCTCACTCTCNCACCTTAAACACCTTTTTACAATCACAACATATATCTGCTTTCACCATATATGAAACATCATAACCAACATAAATAACAATAACTCAAACTAATTATATCACATATCACTAATTTACATATTATATCTCTCTTCTATCGTTCATTTCAGTATTATACCAATCTATTGCCACCGACCCTTATTATATCTATCATAGCTTAATTCATTATCAAATCACTTATTATACTTATTTTCTCCTGTATTTATATCCATATGATTCTTTTCTTCACCGTTATC